GTAACCTTAGCTGGGAGTGTAGTCTGGATATATTGGGTCTTATTTCCCTTAAGCAGTCTTCCTTTCTCTAAAGCATTTAGCCTGTTTTGTGAGCCTTTGTCTATTTACTCTCAGATCATATGAGCGAGACTAATGTCCCTAGACATTTGATTGGGAGTTTTTTTTGATGACCAGATGAATTTCTTCTTTTGTTATGGGTTTGTTCATGCTTTCTACTTCATTCTGAGTAAGTTTAGGTAGATCATGTTTTTCTAGAAATATATCCATCTCTTCTAAGTTTTTGAATTTGTTGGAGTACAACTCTTCATAGTATTCTGTTATTATCCTTTTGATTTCGTTTCATTCTATTGTGACATCGCCCATGTGGTTTCTAATGTGAGTTATTTGTGTCCTTGCCCTCTTTTCTTTAGCTAGTTTGTCAGTTTTATTAATCCTTTCAAAGAACCAGCTTCTTGTCCTGTTGATTCTTTCTATAGTTTTTCAGTTTTCCACCTCATTTATTTCTGCTCTTTATTATTTCCTTTTGGTGACGTAGGTTCCCTCTGCTGGTCTGCTTCTAATTGTTGGAGATGCTGTGTTAATGTGTTAATTTTGGTTCTTTCTTCTTTTTGGATGTGTGCATTTATAGCAATAAATTGTCCTCTCAGCACTGCTTTTGCATATCCCAAAGATTTTGGTATGTTGTGTTTTCATTCTCGTTTTTTTCTAGAAACTTTATGAATTCATGTTTAATTTCTTCTTTTCAGCAGGGTGTTGTTCACTTCTTTTTAGCAGGGTGTTGTTCAGTTTCCATGTATTCGACTTTGTCTCCTTTGTCTTCTTATTGTTGATTTCTAATTTTATAGCATTGTGGTCTGAGACGATGTTCTGTAGAATGTTGATGTTTGTAAATTTATGGAGGCTTGCTTTGTGACCTAACACATGGTCAATTCTGGAAAATGTTCCATGCTCACTGGAGAAGAATGTGTATTGTGCTGTTGTGGGATTGAATACTCTGTATACATCTATGAGGTCAAGTTGGTTGATTGTGTTGTTTAGTTCCTCTGTAACTTTATTGAGATTCTTTCCGGTTGTTCTGTCCCTTTTCAAAAGTGGCATGTTAAAATCTCCCACCATAACTGTAGATTTTTCTTTTTCTTTTTTCAATTCTAGTAAGGTTTGCTTCATGTATCTTGGTGCTCTTTCATTGGGAGTGTAGATATTTATTATGTATGTCGTCTTGCTCAATTGATCCTTTGATCATGAGATCGTGTCCTTTGTCTCTTATGCTTGTTTTTATCTTAAAGTTTACTTTGTTGGCAATACTTAGTATTGCCACTCCTGCTTGTTTATTGTTGCAGTTAACTTGGTAAATTTTTTCCCATCCTTTAACCTTTAGTCTGTTTTTGTCTTTGTGTGTAAGGTGTGTCTCTTGCAGGCAACATATTGAAGGGTCTTGTTTTCTTATCCATTCTGCCACTCTCTTGACAGTAAACATTTGAACTCATGGACTTATTCAATCATGTTAGTCTCTGTATAATACTCCAATTCCTCCTGTCAAAAAGCCTGATATGTGAAAATATTGGTTTTTCCAAGATCTCTGTACAGTCAATGAGGTAGTTCAAGATATCCTTTCCACAATTCCAAAACCTTATACCATATTGAATAATCTCTCTCCAGAAACCACCTGGGTTTCAACATTGGATTTGAAGGATGCCTTCTTCTTTATTCCATTAGAAAAGTCTTCTCAGGAAATCATCACTTTTGAATGGCAAGACCCCCAGACATAAAAGACAGAGCATTTGTGCTAGAATGTGCTCTCTCAAAGTTTCAAGAATGCCCCCACCCTTATTAGATTTTGTGGTGCTATAGGATAAACATTAGATTCAAACCACAAGGTCAATGGTTCCAACCCACCAGCTGCTCCTTGGAAACCCTATACAGAGTCACTATGTGTTGGAACCCACTTGACAGCACCTAAGTAGAAGAAGAACAACAAACTTGCCAAAGGAAAAATTTTGCAATATGTGAATGACCTACTATATTTGGCAGGATTATTTAATGAACACGATGTTGTTGCTATTGTTGTTATGTGCCTTCGAGTTGGTTCTGACTCATAGCAACCCTATGCACAACAGAACAAAACACTGCCCAGTCCTTGACAATCTTGGAGTTGCTCTAAAGCTAGTGGCAGGCTTTATCCCAGTCACTCTACTCCCAAATCGGAGCAAGAGCCACTGGTCCACAACTGTGTGGAGACAATAGACCAAGCATTTGCCCAACTCCTTGACATGTCAGACTGTACACTGTAGGTAGCTGCTACATGGATTGAGGGATTTTGAGGGCAGGGTATGCCGTAGTAATGATAGAAGGTCTGGTGGAAGCTAGAGCCCTCTCTCTGGGAACTTCAATTCAAAAAGTCAAGTTGATTACATTCACTGAGTCATTGGAAATGTCAGAAGGAAGGACTGTGAATGTGTTACAAAAGAACTCGAAGTTCTCATATTCATTTTGCATGCACATGGGGATATTTGGAAATACAGGGATTTCTTAATAGCCAGTCTGAAGGAAATAAAGTATGGATTAGATATACTTCAGCTGCTAGATGCCATTCTTCTTCTCTCAAAGGTGGTAATCATGCACTTCCCCGGACACCTTCATAAAGGGTTGAACAACATCTTGAGAGGAAATTGACTGGTTGACCAGGAGGCTCAATGAGCAGCTAAAATACCCCTACTGGCCCCTTTGATTCCACATGTAAACCTGACTAAATACCAACTGAGATATGATGAGGATGATTTGGCCTGGGTGGAAAAAAGGGGATTTCAGAAGAAAGAAGCAAACTGGTTGCTGAATGACCAAGGAATGCTGTTAGTTCCTCATGCTCTGGCTCCACTTCTTATCAAACAAAGCCATGAAATGACCCACCATGGAAAAAGAATTTATTTGTGCTTGGCTCAAAGGGAGAGGATTCACTCAGATAATACAGGAAGCCACTGCTAAGCCACATTTGTTTCAAGAACAGCCCTAAATAAAAGAATCAGAAAAAGGAACTGCTTCAATAATACCATGAAACAAACCCCTTCAAAAATTGGCAAGTAAATTTTACCTCCCAGTCAAGGTTTCAAGTACCTTCTTGTAATGATTGGCACTTTTCTCAGATGGGTAAAGCCTTTCCTTCTAGAACACAACAGGCTAGTGAAGTGGTAAAAGTATCCTTGGGAAAATCATCCCTGGGTATGGTGTCCCACTGAGCCTCCAGTATCCCAATGGGGCTTCCTTCACAGCCAAAGTCACTCAGCCTTTCAGCAAACACTGGGTAATAAAATGGAGATGGTACTCAGCCTGGAGCCTCAGTCATCAGGAAAAGGGGAGAAGATGAATCACTCCCTAAAGAAACAGATAGCCAGGTTGTGTCAAGAAACCCACTTACACTGGGAACAGGTACTGCCCATAGCTTTGTTCTGTATATGCGTAGCTCCCAGAAGCAAGCTAAAATTAAGCCCTTATGAAATAAGGGCCACTTCGCTGCAACCCTGACCTGAAATATAGCAGGATCTAAAGATTCAAAGATATGTACAACAGATCCAACAGGTTTTGGCAGTTACTTAACAAATTTGCTCTCCTTAGGTCTGTGTCTTCCCCTACAAGTAACTTGCATCCCTTTGGCCTGGAGATCGAGTTCTGCTCAAGACGTGGAAAGATAGCCCCAAAAGTCAGCTAGAAGAAAAGTGGGCTGGACCCTGGGAAGTACTTCTGACCACGCCCTCTGCTGTCAGAGTCTCCATACTTAAGTCCTGAATGCACCACACCAGGATGAAAGCATACCAGTCAGCAGAGAAAGGAGATTGGAGAGCTGTATCTGCTGCGGGCATCATCTACGACTATGGCGATGCGTGTCTTAATCCTTTGCTTTCTTTTCTTCCATTTGGGATTTTCCCAAGACCTTGTTCCCTTTCAACGAGATGAAAACATCTGGGTCTATTTGGCCCGAACTGTAATGAATACAACGGATTTCTGCCTCTCTGCAGGAACTTATGTAAGACAAACCTTTACTTCTTGCCTAGTTGGAGTATGTACCCCTTTAGAGTTGATCAGTAACTTCACTTTATTCAAAAATATCGTGAAAAATATTACCTATAAAGATATCTATAATTGGGGTCCGGTAGTTAGAAGGAAAGAGCATGACATGTTCTCTATAGACCTTAAAACTGTCACTCCGAGTCAACAATGTGTTCAGTTTACGGGGTGTTCTCTGGACTGCCAATCCCTTGATAATACTGTCCTAAACTGCTCAAAGACTGAGACTGTGTCCTATGCCAATGGACACATCAAACTTCCCTCAGGATGGTTTTTACTTTGTGGATATAGAGCTTTCACATATGTCCCTGCTAACGCCTCTGGGGGACCCTGTTCTCTAGGACGCCTTACTACCTTCTTGCCAAGTAGACAAGACTTAGATGTTAAGAAAAGTCGGGTTACCCGAGAGGCTGAGCTATCTGCAGATTGTCGAAGTGATCTGCACCTATTCAGCACTGCAGAATATGTGGCCCTGTCCCTCTTTGCAATGCCAGCTATGGTTATATCCCTAAACGTGCAAGTAAGTAGACTGGCCTGCTCTATGGTCAAGTCCTTAAATGCCACTTCTCAAGCTATTAGTGCCTTAAGTGTAGAACTTGGGCAGGTACGGGAAGCGGTCTTGGAAAACAGAGCTGCTATTGATTATCTATTACTACTTCACAATCTTGGGTGTGAAGAATTCAAAGGAATGTGTTGTTTCAATATATCTGACAACTCAGAACTAGTAGAACAGAAATTAAAGGAAGTTAAGAATGTTGTACAGAATATCAAACAGAGAGATGGATTTTTTGGAATAAATGTCCCAGACTGGCTTTCTTGGCTACTAAATTTAGGATGGTTACGCACATTAATAACAGGAATTGGGTTTCTCTTGATTTTGGGAATCTTAATTTGCTGCTGTATCCAGCTTTCTCCCTGTTATATTACTTGTTGCAAAATGTGTTTCCCATTAACCACACCTCAAGTTAACTCCTTTAAGCGAAAGACAAATGCTCAGGACAGAGTCATTGTTTCTACCTGAAACAGATCTCATAGAAATGAGATCCATAAAAATAACAGTGGGGAATGATATAGATGACTTCTTGACCAAAGTTAAAATGGGGTCTGAGCAAGCCAAGGAAGTAAGAGAGAAGAATGTTCTTAGTGATCTCATTCCGGAAAAAGTTAGCCCACTCCCCTGCCATAAGGATAATTATCAAAGGACTGCAGGAACCAAGTTTGAAAAGACCCCCATGATAACAATATATAGTAAAGAAACACATTGTTCCTTTGCTTTTGTGAAACGTTACTTTAATGTTATGAAAGGTGAATCATTTTTCCAGCTGTAACTTAACCCATTGTGTAGAGATTTTGTGGCTAGCATGGCAGTTTTGGAAAGCTATTCATGATGTCTTCCAGATTACTTGCTTTCTGCTAATAAAGTGTGATGTTGGATCTTACTCCATCTCTGTGATTGATTACAGTGACAGGTGGCAAGCCCTCGTTTGCTTGGCAACATTCTCAATAAATACTGATTCAGTGAGTCAATGAACAAATGAATGAATGAAAAGCTTAAAGGTAATGGGAGGATTTGAGCTAAAAGTCAAACAAAAATTAAAATACATTAGATTACACACATGTAAGGAGCTCTGGTAGCATAGTGGTTATCAATCGGGCTGCAAACCTCAAGGTCAGCAGTTTGAAACTACCAGCTGTTCCACAGAAGAAAGATGAGGCTTTCTGCTCCTATAGAGATTTATAGTCTCGGAAACCCTTACAGGGCCGCTATGGGTCGGAATAGACTTGACAGCACTTAACAACAACAAATGAAATTAAGAGAATTTCATGCATCATAATTCTTCTCGTGGACAGGTCTATGTGTTTAAAAGGCTGACTTATGTGAACCCTAATAAATTCAGCTGATAGTTGATGTGTCTTTGAAGAAATAAGGACCTCAATATGGCTTTATTGAGCACCAAAAGACATTCTGTTACATGGTTTTGGAGTAGATGTTTGGGGCTAAACTGAATTGCTCAGCAATACAGAGAAGGAAGAAGAAAGTAAGGGTGAGGTCTGAGTATCTGAAGTATGAAATATTTGTGAGAGCTATTAAGTGGTGTGTAAGTCTGTGCTAAGGAGCTCTGGTACCATAGTGGTTACAAATCAGGCTGCTATCCTCAGGGTCAGCAGCTTGAAACTACCAGCTATTCCACAGGAGAAGGATGAGGATTTCTGCTCCCGTAAAAATTTACAGCCTCTGAAACCCTGTACAGGGTTGCTATGAGTCGGAATCGATTCCACGGCACATAACAACACCACCAACAACAACATAGTGTGTGCTGATTTCCTCATCCCCTTGAGTCATCTATCTTAGGAATGGGGACAAATATGATCTCTTCCAATCAGTCGGCCAGATAGCTGTCTTCCAAATTTCTTGGCATACATGAGTGAGTGCCTCTAGTGTCGCCTTTCTTTCTTTCTTTCTTTTTTTTTTTTTTAGCATAGCTTTTATAGTGAATTGAGTGATAGTTTACATGGCAGAACATTAGCGTATTTTTAAAAATGTTTTATTGTGAATTATGTGATAGTTTACATGGGAGAACATTAATTTTACATTCATCCTATCATATATCATTTCATTGCCATGGTTACAAGCCCCTCCATGCATTATCAACCAACCAAAGGGAATACCTTGCAAGCCTTCCCCCTGGTCATCAGCACACAGCCCCTCTTCCTATCTGGGTCTATAGTCCCCAGTTGCTCCATCTCTCCACATCATCGTCTCTGCCTCTATCTCTGGCATCACTGCTTCTCTGGGTAGTGTCCTGCTCTCTGCTCTTCTCTCTTGATGGTCACAGGGACCTCCGCTCCTAGACTGAAAAGTTAATCACTCCCCTCCTTGCTACAAAACATCTACCTTTACATTTCCAACCCTCACAATCAGTCCTGATAACAATTATTTGCTGTTGTATCACAAGAGACCTATCCGCATTTCCTTTCATCAGCCCTGCCTAGACAGATTGGATACTACTCATTGGAGATTCTACCTTCTTCCACGTCCTCTGATCTAGGTTCCCTCTTGAAAGCTTGTAAGGCAGTTATGTCTTGCCTTTGTAGCCACCCCATTTTGGGTAGCCAGTGTCCAAGTTACACATCCCTGTCTACCCTGTGTACCAAAGGGGTGGGAATGACACTCGCTGTAAAGATTTGTTCCTTCTTTTGAGCTACTGCATCCATAGGTGTAGATCAAGTTCATCAAATTGTATCAAATTATTCTTTTTTACCTCTTCTTTCTTCTAATTGAGCTCTGATCATCCAGTCATTGAAAGCAGGTCAAGTGGGTATTATCTGCATGGGTGTTCTTGTGCATATGCTCTCTCTTTTTATCAGCTCTCCACTTTAGTTCTATGTGGCTATGTCACTGACTCTGGGCCCAAGAGTCCCCAGGACTTGCAACACTGCTGGCCAATCAGGTCTCCACCTGGGTTCACAAGAGGCTATTGAACATTGTAGGGCTTAGCTCGCAGCTTCATTGCTGTTTTCCCTCACTTCCCCTTATTGGTGACAAACGTGGTTACCAATCAGAGCGTGTATTCCCCTTGAGTCTTAGTCTTGGAAGGGGGTTTGCTCTAAGGGGCCCTGACCACTTGCCTTGATGTCTCCTGGGCAAGCAACTTGCTTGTTCTTATAGTAATCAGTTGGTCTGCCGTAACTGTTGTGTAATTTTCCTGTCAGTCTTTCATTCAGGTAGTATCTTTTTTTCTTCTAGCCATTCCAGGCTGATTTCCTTGTCCTTTCAAGTGGAAATTTCCCACCTCTAAAGATTCTGGATGCTGTTCAGGATTCCACCTGTGGTCTTATGTAATACTGAGGCTCTGCAGGAACTCTCCTTCACTGGGCACGTTGTAGCCCCATTTTAGGTATTCCAATCAGTTATAGGCAGAAGACGGACTTACAAGCTTTCTATGGTGATATTTCTGGCTATTCCTTTCTCTCCCCCTCAAGTGTCTATTTTATAATGGTATGCCAGGGAAACCAAGATTCAAAAGACAGCCAATCATCTTAACATTATTTCCCCCATTTCCCCACTGCAACCATGTCTCAGTCCCTGTATCCCAGAGCCCTGTTGTTCCAAGGTTGTTCATACATCATTATTTACCTCTGTCCCACTCAGCCCATGCAAACCTGCCTAATTGTTCTCCCATCCACTTTGTTCTTCCATAGCCTCCCATTTCTTTTATATTGCTCCCCTCCCTAGCACCCAAACTATCCTGTGTCTGTTCCCTACCCAGTGCTCCACCTTCTCCTCCCTCCCCTCACCCCACCCCCACATCCCAGTCACCAGCAAAGAATCCCCTCCCCTTCATATGGGTTCTTTTTCTTAGTACTTAATAGTAATGATCCTATGCAGTAGTTCTCCTTTTGTGACTGACTAATTTCACTCAACATAATGTCCTCAAGGTTCATCCATGTTATGCGGTGGCTTGCAGCTTCCTTTATTCTTCAAGGTAGCACAATATTCCATTGTGTGTATGTACCACAGTTTGTTTATCCATTCTTCAGCTGATGGGCACTTTGGCTGTCTCCATCTTTTTGCTATTGTAAATAGTGCTGCTATGAACATTAATGTGCACATATCTACTCGTGTTATGGCTCGTATTTCTTGTGGGTAAATACCAAGTAGAGGAATTGCTGGATTATAAGGTATTTCTATTTCCAACCTTCTGAGGAAACACCATATTGCTTTCCAGAGAGGTTGGACCATTTTGCAATCCCACCAGCAATGCAGGAGTGTCCCAGTCTCTCCATATCCCTGCCA